AGAAAGAAAGAAAGAAAGAAAGAAAGAAAGAAAGAAAGAAAGAAAGAAAGAAAGAAAGAAAGAAAGAAAGAAAGAAAGAAAGAAAAGAAAAGAAAAAGCCTTAGATTTCATGTTGCTCCAGCTCTAGCTCTCTCTCACCCTGTGCAATACAGCCTTATTACTGCTGTCTGGACATAGCTTTGGAACCCTTGGTTAGGGGCCAGTCCATTCCCTTTCTTGAGCAGCTGATTAAAGACACACCTCACTGCCTCTTTTATGGGGCATAGTCTGGGCCACAAAGGCAGGTACCAGACAACCAGGGATAGCCCCCACGCCCCAGAGCCCATGAAATGATCCAAATGAAGCCTGCTTGCCTTGCAATTCTCGTCCCTTCCTGAAGAAACCACAATGCAGGTTCTTGCACTTGTCTCCCCTACCTCCCAACACACCTGGGTACTTCCCCACACGGCCCTTCTCTTGGGCTCTGTGAGTACAATTAACTGTCTTTTCAGTGGCGCAGTCCCCCCAGTGGCACTGGCATTACACCCAAAGGGTAAGTGGGCCTATGTAAACACTGCTTCACACTCACTTCTCAGGTGGACCAGTTTTCTCTGCTTCCTTCCCACACTTCACCATGGCCTGGTGTCCACGCCCCTCCTCCAAGGGAACAATGTCCTATTCCAAAGTCCTCTCGTCTCATTTTCCCCCTTATCTCCAGTTCCAAGGGCCACCTCTCAATCTATCCTCAGTGACCGCTCGGCAGCACTTAGCTCTACTGATGCTCCTTCATTTTCCCCGGGTCTACCCTCTCCCACTTGGCACCACCACCTCCCTGGCCGCTGCTCCTCCATCTCCTCCGTGGGCCCCTCCTTCTGGCCATCCTAAAAGGTGGGCATTCCCAGGAGTCTGTCCTCTTTCCTCACCGGACACACACTCCATGTGGGGGTTTGTCCACTCCTGCCACTTCACTTTCAATCTCCACATCTGTGATTCTGGAACTTCTGTCCCTAGTCCCTGCTTCTAGCTCTCCTAAGCTTCAGATCCACTTCCCCACCTGACCCCTGGAAGCTCCACCTAGATGTCCTCAAGGGCTATGACTGGGACGTCCAGCCATACACGCTGAGATTGGGGGCAACAGAATGCTCAACATAAAGAGAGGGCTAGACTGGGAATCCAATGACTGTGGTGATTTGTTACAGATGCTGTGTAAGGCAGGTAGCATGCAGTAAGGTGGGGAGAGGTCAATTTCACTAGGGTGGGACGCTGGCCAGGACAGGTTCTATGGCAGAGAAGAAACTGGACATCACCTTCCCCCACACTTGTACTCATTCTACCTCATGCATCTGCATCTGATGGCCACCACCTTTGTTTATACCTCATTCCTTTGCACCCAGGCCATTACAGCTGGTCTCCCAACTCCCCTTCTCTCCTTGTCCCATCTCTCCTCTACCCATCCCTGGGGATCATTCCAACAAGATCTGATGACTATGACCGAGCTTGAGGAGGATTCAGAGTGATGAAGACATTTGCACAGTGTCTCCTGAACTACTGGGCTGTTTATCCCACCACCACCCCCAACGCCTCCACTTGCATGTCCAACAAGCATCTCAGACATGATGTGTCTACAACTGAGCCCCAACCCGCCCAAACCCTATAGTCCCTATAGTCACTCAATCTCAAGCAATGACGATGCCAGTCTTCCTGGTGCTCAGGTGACATTCCTTGGGGTCCCCCTTGAGCCCTCTCTGACTCTCACACCACACACCCATTCTTTAACCAGATCTTCTGTTCAAACACTCATACTGCATGTAGATTCTGACTACCTCTGACCATTTCCTGGTCCAAGACATAATCACCTCTTGCTTGAATTATAACACAGCTCTTCCTCTATCTCCCTATTCTCGCCTTTGCTTCCTAAATAGGTGAGATTGTGTCACTGACATATTCAAAACACTCCAAAAACTCCCATCTCAGGATAAAAACAAAGTCCTTGCTTTCATTTATGAGGTCCTACCTGATCTAGTCCCACCTGTCAGACTTCATTTCCTACTACCTTCCTCTTCACCCACTCTGCTCAGTCTCCGAGATGTGCAATGTTCTACACACCCACGAAGCACGCCCTTGCCCCAGAGCCTTTGCACTTGCTGGTCTCTCTACCTGGAATACCTTTCCTCTAGACGTGCACACAGCTCCTCCCTCGCTTGGTTCAGGTCTGTGCTCAAGCGACTTCCTCTTAGTTGTCTTCTCAGCGAGGCTTTTCCCAGACACCCTATTTGCCATTTCCTCTAATTTTAACACTCTATCTAAAATGTCCCTCTATCCTTCCTAGCCCTACTTCTTGCTTTATTTGTCTCCAAGTAAGTATCACATTCTTTGGTATCTTGCTTATCACTGTTTTCCTGGGGTGGAATGGAAGCCCCACAAGGACAGGAATCTTTAAGTCACTGTTTCTTCAGCATCTAGGACAGTGCCTGACACATAATAGGTATTCGGTTACTATTTCGTTGGCTGAATGCAAGTCCCAGAGTTGAAACTGGAACTGATTCCAAAGTCACTGGCCCAGGCTGCTTGGGGGCGGGGAGCAATGAGAAGGTCATGACCCCTGTTGCAGAGGGCATGAGGACCTTCTGAAACCAGTGTGGGTAGATTCACTGGCTGTGCTCTCTGACCCATCCAGCGACCAGCACACGCCCCTTGTTCTGACCTGATGGTGACTTTTTTGGATGCTCCCCAAACCCTCTGCTCACCTGAAGACCAGGTCCCCGGGTGCTGACTTCTTCTGGCTCTCCTTATATCTGGAGAAAGGATGCTGGCATGAAAGGCTCAGGGAGTGAGTCTGGAACCAGGGATCCTGATCCTGTCCCCGGCCACCACCTCCACGCAGTCAGTCAGTTCTGTGCTGTCTCACTTCTTCCTCAGGAAAAAAGTCAGCAGGCCCATGAGGATGAGGAACAGAAGAACACCAACAATGGCCCCGGCGATGACCCCTGGGGGAAGGAGGCATGGGAGTCGTTAGAGTTGTGTCCTATCTGCTTATGTCCCGCCTCTCGTCTCTGTTCTGACCCAGGAGGTGATCAGAGGGCTTACAGGGTAAATGTGGGGGCAGAGAAGGGAAAGGAGAACCTTCTGGGTGAAGCTCCACCCCCACCCAGCCTTTCCTTTCAGTCTCTCAGTTCCCCAGGAGCCTGGTCTAAATGCTTCACTTTCTCAGGTCGCCTGGCTACTACAATGACACTGTCCTCCTTGGCCTAGACTAATAGCTCTCAGGGCAATTTTGCCCCGTCAACTACACTGGGTAAAGTCTGGAGACATTTTGGTTTGTTGCAATTAGGGTGGTAGTGCCATTCGCATGGAGTGACAGAGCCATGAGTGACAGGGATGTGGCTCAACATCCTATCTTGCACCAGACAGCCCCCACAGCACAGTGACCCAGCCCACATGTCAACAGTGCCAAGGCTGAGAACCCACTCCCTGGCATTGGTGGCACTGGAGGCTCTCCCTGGAACTGAGGCTCATCTCAGACATCTACTGTGAGGGAGCCCACCAAGGCTAGCAGTGCCTAAGGCCTTGTTCCCAGGCTCTCATGGGCACAGAGCTCCTGGGTCTGTCCTCAGACATCTGGTCTTAGGCTAGACTCACACCCACGGCCCATCTCCATCAGCCACAGTGGCCCCAGCTAGAGCTTCTCAACTGTCCTGTACCAGGACTTGTCAACAGTCTCTAGTGGTGTTTTACACAGCCTGGGGGGAGGCCTGTTCCCCTTATGAGCCTGGTCTGTGGAATTGGACAAGAGGGTCTATCCTTCCAAGGACCCTTCTTGCTGAGCTAGAGACACTGCTGGGCAGTGAGATCCAGCGAAAGCCATTTATCATTGCACCAACCTCCAGTGTCCCTCTAGATCGCAAGCCCAATCTTATAAGAGACCCTGCTTCCTAGAGAGTGACCAACGGGGCCCACGGAAGTCTATGACCACAGCCAGTGTACGTGGTCAGAGACTTCCTGAATATGAGATTCAAATTTCTTCAAATACTCTCATTGATGAGTTAAAAATTGAGCAACCATGGTGGAAAAAAAATTGGCAGTTCTTCAAATGATAACTCTAAACAGAGTTGCCATATGATCCAGCAATTCCACTCTTGGGTACATACCCAAAAGAAATGAAGACACATGTCCACACAAAAACATCAACATGAATGTTCGTAGCAGCAGTACTCGTAACAGTCAGAAAGTGGAAACCACCCAAGTGACCACCCACAGGAGAACAGATAAAAAAGGAGTCTACCCATGCAATGGAATGTTACTTGGTAATGAAGCACTGACACACACTGTAATATGGGTCAACCTTAAAAACAGTGTGCTAAGTGAAAGAACCCAGTTACAGAGGGCCACATATTATATGATCATGTTTTTAGGAAATGTCCATAATAGGTAAATCTATAGAGATAGAAAATAAATTACAGATTCCCTAGGCCTGGTTGCAGGGGAATTGGAGAAAATAGGGGGGCAATGGCTTAAGGAGGCAGTTTTCCTTTATGGGGTAATTAAAGTATTGTAAAATTGATAGTGATGATAGTAATGATTGGGCACAATACCATGGGTACACTAAAAGTACATATTAAATGGGTGAGTTGTATGTGAAATGAGTTCTATCTCAATAAAGTTGTTTTAAAGAAAGCAGGAAACAAAACATATACACAAACGAACAGAAAAATGCCATGGGTAGGTGAGTCGCCCTCACAGCAGGGCCCGATGGCATCTAGAGAGACTCTCTCTGTCCCCTGGGGCTCTGCTCACCTGCGCTCTCAGTGTGGCAGGTCACAGAGGCAGATGGAGCCCTCATTGTGTCCCAGACAGTGGTGACAGTGGTGGAATAGGACTGAGCTGGCTGGAGGCCAGACACAGACACGCCCGTCCCGCAAGAAAGTCCATCCCAGGAGCCCCGCTGCCTGCCCACCTGCAGCTCGAAGGCTTCGTAGCCCCACTTAGGGCAGGACCAGGTCAGGATGACCCCGTAGCCCCCAGGGGTGCTGATGCAGGAGATGATGGTGACCGAGTCCGGGTCTGGGTGGAGGGGACAAGAGGAGTCAGCAGGTGCCACCTAAGGTGGCTTTCCATCCCCCACCCCAGTCCACCACCAATGATGTGGACCCTCTGACAAAAAGCCCACCCCTTCCTTCCCAAAATCAAAACAACTTTTTCCCTCATTTTGTCTTCCCCAAATGGACACACAACAGGTCCTCTCAAACCACAACTCCCACAAGAACCCAACTATCAATGCAACTTCTGAAGTCATGGCCTCCTGGCCTAATGGGATTTGTAGTCCACTCACTCACCACCCCCAGGTCTAACTTAAGTGCCCCGCCAGGTAAAAGGGGCCATCTCACCTGTGGATGCCTGGAGGCTCTGCATGGAACTGGCCACATCCTTCCTCTCTGCCCACACACTGAAGTTGTACAGAGTCCCAGGTCCCAGGACCTCTGCCACATAAAAAGTCTCACTGGTCGTGCCTGTCTGGGAGGTCTGATATCTTTGGGATGCCTGCTTCTTCTGGGGTTGTCCCCCACTGGCCCACTGGACCCAGTACACGTACAAGTGAGAGTAGGGGTCTGCAGGGGCCTCCCACCGCAGGGTGATTGAGTTGTTGGTCTGAGTTTCCTTCTGCAGATTTGTGACCTCACTGGGAGCTGACAATTGAGATGAACACTCAAGGGGCTGAGTCCTCAAAGACCCTCATACCCAAGTCTACTTACCTCCCCTGCACGGCAAAGTCTAGGAGCCCAGTCATTGAATGAACCTATTTCCTAGGGAGTGTAGACCCCAGAAAAGAGGTGTAGACCAGCACTGCCTGGCCCTCTCTGTCCTGAGTCTGTAGCCTTGTGTCCCACCCACCGCATTCCTCCATGGGCAGCCCGAGGCAGCATCCTTTCTCCTTTCTATTCACACCACATTCCTAGATGGAGCTGCTGACTTCAGTCTCCTCAGCCCAAGTGGCCAAAGACTAAAGAGTTCCAGATGCTGTCCATCAATAGTGAACCTAGTCCCTGGGGGTAATTCTGGCCACCCCAGCTTGGTGCCCTCCTGTGTAGGCTTAGAGGTTGGGCTCTGTTGGTTCAGCTTATTCACCAGCACAAGCTGTGGACAACTGTCTAACTGATGACTTTGTCGGTTCCTCAGAGGTGGTGCTGGACAGTCAGGGGCTCTCTTTGTCCCCAGAGAAAGACCCCAAAACTGATTGCTGAGGCAAGACACCTCCTAGGAAGCAGAGCTACAAACTCAAGGTTGGATGAGACTGGAGAAGGTCACCAAGCACAGTTCATCTCCCAGGAAGCTCCCAACGTCTCCCTATCGTGCTCCAACCCCATCCCAATCACGCTGCATCTCACCAGTGGCCCCAGTGAGGGTCCCGTTGTCACTGCTAGCCCTGTTCCTCTCTGCCTGGATGGTGAAGGTGTACTGGCTTCCCGCCTCCAGTTCCCTTAGCGTGATGCCAGTATCCAGAGTGTTGAGGGTACCAGTGGTAGTACTGCCCTGGTCAACCCATGAGATCCAGTAGGTGTAGGGGAGGGCGACTTGGGCCCAGGGGAGTTGTCCAGCTCAAGGTGATAGAGCTGTTGGTCTGGTGCTGTATTCTGAGACTTGTCACTGCCTTGGGGACTGGAGGGAGGAATGGACAGTCAGGGTTTCTACGTCCCTCATCCACAAGCATCCAGAACACAGCCATGTGCCCAGTCCCTGTGTAGCCCAGCTTGATGACAAACACTTCCTAGTGATGGGACCTAAACACATCTGGGCCCTTGCATCCCTGCTCAGTAGCAGATTTCTGGACAGGCCAGTCCCAGCATGGTCACAGCTCTCCTGTAGACTTTAGGTGGCTAGGTCTGGCTCGGTGAGCCCCAAGAGACAAGGGCTGAGGCCCAGAGTCTGGAGGAGGCACCATCTCTGCCAGTTCTGAGCCTCTCACCAAGACAGCATGAACACTGGTGCCTCTTACCTGTGGAGATGCTGAGGTTCTGCCTGGAGCCAAATACTCTATTCTCTTCTGCCCACACAGAGCATTTGTACAAGGTCCCGTGTTCAAGGCCCTCCACGGTGACACTGGTATTTGTTGTGTTTTGGGTCTCAGTTTTGTTACCATCTCCTGTCCACTGGACCCAGTAGGTGCAGTTCTGGAGGTCGGGGCCCTTGGGGGCCTCCCAGTGCAGGGTGATAGAGCTGGTGGTCTCAGCCTCCACACTCAGGTTCCTGATGGGGTTGGGGGCTGAGAATGGGAAAGGAGGGTCTGGTGTCAGCAGAAGAGCAAGTCAGAGGGACCCTCGGTGGGCATCTCTAACCCTTAATTTCCAGTCCTGCCTCAACTACTGTTCCCAGGAGGCATAGGTGAGGGTCTAGCCCAATGTTTGTCATGCACACATAACATGGATCCCACCAAGATGCAGGTCTTGACACAGCACATTTGCCCGAGGCCGAGAGCCAGCATTCCAGTCAGCCCTTGGGGGACTGGGCTGCTCATCTGCAGCCACACTTGGAGCAGCTGGACCTAGACTGGGCTTCCCCACAGGACCCCAGCAGCGATGATATACCTTTGCCCCTACTACTAGCAGCCTGGCTGCTAAGAAGAGATACCTGCTAGTGTAATATTCTAGAAAGCTCCCCCAGCCCCTCACTCAGGGGCAGGAGGGACCACGGACAGTCCCTGGGATATGGCCAGTCTCTCCTGCAGACTCGCTCAAGATCTGGCCCAACGAGGCCTAGGACATGTTGGCTGCCATTTGCTGACACCTCCTCCTATAGGATCCCAAGCGTCTCCTACTCCCCACCATGCCAAACAAGAGGAACAAATCAGCCAGTGGACGTGGGCACTTCTGACCTATGAAACTCTCGAGGGTCTCCCTGGAGCCAGGTATTCCATCCTTCTTCGCCCACACAGAAAACTCATACGAGGACACTGATTTAAGTCCTTCCACTGCGTAACTGGTAATCGTCGTGTTTTGGGTCTCAGTTTTGTCACCGTCTCCTGTCCACTGGACCCAGTAGGTATAGTTGTGAGGGTTCGGGCCATCAGGAACCTCCCAGTGTAGGGTGATGGAGCTGTTGGTCAACACTTCCGCCCTCAGTTTTCTAATAGGGTTGGGAGCTATCAGGACAGGGGGAATCAGCTATGGTTTCTGGTTCCCATGTTTTCAAGCCCTCCCTTACCACTGGACCCCGCAGGTGTGGGGCAGCAGCTAGACCCGCCATTCCACGTGACTACAGAGCCCTGGAAATGTGACTTGTTCCCAGATGTGCTGTGTGAAATACCCACTGAGTTCCAAGGAACTGGTGTGAAATTAAGCATGTAGAACATCTCATCTGTCCTCTCTCATATGGACTGCATGGCAAAATAATACTTTGGATCTATCGGGCTAAATAAAATATCTCTTTATAATGACTTTCACCCATTTCCTTCTGCTGATTTTAACGTGGCTGATAGAGAACTTGAATTTACACATGCAGCTTCCACTTTATTTCTGCTGGTCTATGAAACCTGCCACACCCTCGTGTGGGCTCTCAGGCACTGCCAGCCACCTCCCTTTAAAAAGGCAAACAAACAACAAAAGCATTAAACAATGGCTGCCTCTCACCTGTGGCAGCATTGAGGGGCACTTCAGAACTGTTGACTCCACGTTCCTCGACCCACATGGAAAAGTCATACGAAGACCCAGAGTCAAGTCCATCTGCCATAAAACAGGTGTCTGTCGTGTTTTGGGTCCCACTTTTATCATCCTGCCCATTCCACCGGACCCAGCAGGTGTAGTTCTGCACATTCAGGCCCTCAAGGACATCCCAGCACAGGGTGACTGAGCTAGTGGTCTGAGCCTCTACACTCAGGTTCTTGACAGGGTTGGGGGCTGAGAATGGGGAAGGAGGGTCTGGTGTTAGCAGGCGAGCAGGTCACTATTGTCCCACTCCCCCAAGCTCCTGCCCTGAGTACAGAGTCCAGAAATACCACTCCCATCAGTGCCTACCCTGGATCACCGTGCCCTCCATAGAGACCCTCCCAGAAGCTCATGGACATTGAGGGTAGTGAAACTCAGCACGGGGCACTCACAAGCTGCCCTGGCCACTGCACAGGCCCTGGAGAGAGCCCAGAGGGGAAGAATCGGAGTCAGAGCCTCACCTCTTGGGGACCCAAGTGAGACTGCGGGGCTGGGGGCACATCCTCTGCCCTCATCGTTGCCTGAAGGACAGGAAGGACGTGGCACATTTTCTCTGCCCCCAGGCTGGGCTCTGATAAAGTATCTAACAGTCCTTTCTGAGTGTGTGTGTTTGGGGCAGGGGGGCCTCCAGGGACACAGAAGCTGAAGTTGGTGCCACTGATAAGGCTGGGAGATAAACTCAATGGTTTCACTTCCTGAAAAGTATGGCGTTGGAAGACAACAGGCAGAAAGCAATCAACAAATTGGGGTTGCGGGGAGACTGAGGCTGGGACCACAGCCTCCTCCTCTGATGGATGGAGCCAGGACCTGAACACTTGCTCTGTGGGAGGAGGATTCTAGGTTTGAAGGAGGAGGCTGGGGGCCCGGATTCCCAGGTCTGAGGGAGGAGGGGCTACAGGCCTGGACTCCTGGGTCTGAGGGAGGAGGCAGGAGGCCCAGATCCCTGGGTCTCTGTAAACCAGAGTTTAGTGTCACCCCAGACACTATAATATCTAAGAGCCCAGGTGTAAGACTCCCCGACAAACTCCCCAACCTAGATGCTTGCTTCCTTGTCCTGTCATCAGCCTTTACTCCCTCAATACCTGAGTTCGGAGACCCCACTTCCCCCAGTTCAGACCCGGGAGTGGCCTCCGCCCCCCACCCCACCCACCCCTGTCCCTCCTTGAGACCTAACAGAGCACTCACCAGCAGCACCAGGCTCCTCCAGGTCCTGAGGTCCCCACCAGACCCTGTCATGTCTGCAGACACCGTGACTGACCAAGGTGTCCCAGCCCCAACCTTCCACCTACTGGACTTTCAATGCAAAGATTTTTCCTTTCCCTGCCCAAAGGCGAGGCCCCAGGTCAGGTCAGGTCGAGAAGGGAGGAGGAGCAAGTAAAGGCTGCAGTGTGAGCTCTCAGCCCCGCCCCATCCTGTCCCTCTGCCTCTGTCCTGGCCTAAGTGCCCTCTTGTTCCCCCTGGCCATGGGGTCTCCCCTCCAGTGGCCTCCTTGCCTCCTTTGTGCCAAGAAAAATGCCAGGGTGAGGCACCGTTTCCCTGCCACTGTGTAAGTGCACAACACAGGTCCCAGAGGGTCTCCTAGTTTTACTCCAGCTACACAGAAGTTTCCAATATTTTTTTCATAGATACCCCAGGCTGTTTCCAACAGCAGGGTCTCTGCACATGCTAATCCCTCTCTCTGTCTGGCCAGTTCTTTCTTGCCTTTGGCTCCTACTTCTGGTTGACCCGACACAGCCGACCACTCCCTTCTGTGTGAGCTTATCGAAGCAAATCTCTTATTAAACATGTGTGATGTTGCATGTGGCTATGTCTGTGTGTCCTTTTGAGGGTACAGACAAATCTATTTCTTTCTGCAGCCACAGGGCCACCTCGACAACTGAGCACTGATGACAGCTCAGGACATATCACTGAACCTGTGTCAAGTTATCCAAGTCCACCATCCATGATCAGTCTCGCTTTGTGTGCGTGCAAGCTCATTTCATTCCCACGTGCTCTAATGTGGGATCGGCTCTTCCTCGATCTCATGCTGGTGAACCAGCCCAGACTTCCAACTCACTGCTCACTCTCCCATACGACTCAGTCTTGGTTTTCTTCCCAGCCACATAGTGGGCAGCCAGGACTGGAGGACCCAAGAAATAACGGGAGCAGACCTCCTAGTGTTGTAGGAAGACTCGAATGTCCTGGCTCCCTTCTCTCACCAACCAAAGCAAGAAATGAAGCAGATCTTGGGGAAGCCTGGGGAAAGGAGGTTCCTGAGGGCATTGAAGACATCCAGCTCAGTTCCCAAAGTTGCCACCACACCCAAAAGTCCTTGGCAAAGTTATAATTGTCTTTCTTCTGATGTCATCAGCAAAAATACTCAGCCAGGATGCCCTCTGAAGACTTAGAGGAGATGCATGGATTTCACCGGGCAGGAAGATGAAGGTTTCTTCTCCAGTCCTCCTAGAGCCAGATCTGTCTGCCCCACGAGCCAGCCCAAGCTCGCCCTGAATAGCAAAATGGGCTTTTTCTTAAGTCCTATATGATGTTTAAGGGTTCTTTTAATCTACATCTTCACTAGGGAGGGGCCACCAGATTCCAGAGTCTCTGCTTTTAGCTTTTACCCCCACACTCAGTTCTGCCATCCACACCGCCCCCCCCAACCTTTGACAATCACTAATTTACTTCTGTTGATTTATCTATTCTGGATATTTCATATAAATGGAATCCTATAATAACGGTTTTCTGGAACTGGCATCTTTTACTCACTGTAATGTTTTTCAAGGTCCGTGCATTTTGTAGCATGCAAAAGGACTTTGCTCCTTTTTATGGCCAAATAACATTTCACACTGACTCATGTTCTTAATGGGCTGTGACTGACAGGAAGTGGTTGGTTCTCTGCAGGGATGGACCCCAGTAAAGCCAGGGACTGCCAAAGATGGCCAACAGACCTGGGGGAGAGGCAAGGAGTGGGTTTTTCTCACAGGCCTCAGAGAGAACCAGCCCTGCTGACACCTTCCTCTTGGACTTCTGGCTTCAGTAGTGGCCTGTATGTTTAAAAAAAAAAAAAAAGAATATGGTCTTCAGACAGATAGATGCTGAAATGTTGCTCCCAAGCACTCTTCACTGTGCTGGGAGGCTGCTCTGGGGCTCCTTTACGCCGGAAGGCAGGTGCTCGCTTTATTCCCCGTTAGTCTGTCCTGAGCCCCCACCCTTGATAACAGACAGAGCGATGGGGACTGGGCAGTGAAGCAGGTGACCATGACCACCAGGCAGGCATGGGGCAGGGGCTTGACGAAGGCCTCACACACCAACATGGCATCTGAGATTACAAAAGCAGGATACCCCACCTGGACACCTGTCCCTGCCCAGGCCACGCCATAGCACGTTCCTCACCCAGCCCAAAGTCTTCCTCTGTGGTGAGCAGGGACCCTGGCCTGAAGATGGGCAGGGACTAAGAAACAAGGATGGGCTCTGGGGGTCTCTACAAACACATCATGGATATAAGTCCCCTCTCTGCCATAAGAATCCCTTAAAGTACATCATGGATGTACATCTCCTCTCTGCTGTGAGTCCCTCAAAACACGTCATAGATATAGAAGTCTCCTCTCTGCCATAACACTACCTTAAAGCATATCATAGATGTAAAAGTCTTCTCTTGGCCGTAAGAGTCCCCTCAAAACATATCATAGATGTAGAAGTGAAGCAGAGTTTGGAGAGCAGCTCTGACTGCTTCATGTCCTCAGATGCAGACCTTGAGGCCCAGAGAAGGGAAGTGGGCTAACAAGGTCAAAGCCAGGATGATGGCCACTCCTGGGTTTTTTCTTCCTAGTAGTATATTCCTACCCCACTGCTATCCACCCTTTCCTCTAAGGTCCCCTCATCTTTGAGTCCCTTCACCTCCTCTTCCCTTTCCTCCTGATATTGTTATGTGACTGTAGTGGGTTGAAATGTGTCCCCCTAAAGAAAGATGTCCAAGTCCTAAACCCTGGTCCCTGTGTTTGTGACAATTACTTAGAAACAGGTTCTTTAGAAATATAATTAAGGGTCTCAAGATGAGACCATCCTGGATTTCGGGTGGGACCTAAATCCAGTAACTGGTGTCCTTAGGAAAGGAAGATACACAGGAGGTGAAAACAGAGGCAGAGATCACACGGACGCCAGGGACGGCTGGGGCCACCACAAACTGGAAGAGGCAGAAGGACCCTCCCCTAGAGCCTTGGAAGGAGCACAGCCCTGCTGACTGACACCTTGACTTTGGACTTCTGGACTCCAGCACTTGTGAGATTAAATTTCTGTTTTAAGCTACCCAGTTTGTGGTAATTTGTGACAACAGCCATAGGAAACTAACACATGGACCAAAGTCTCCTCCTGGCTTCAGATCTGTACAATCATCTGTATAATAAGCATATGAATCCCGCCACCAACGAAGCCCCTCGGGGGGGATTCCATGTCCCCTAAGTCCTGGGCCTCAGGCCTGGTCACTGCGAGTGTGCTATGAGTATACTCAACAATACTGACTTACACACATAAAAATGTGTTCTGAGGGGGGAATCTCACAGTAAATGTTCTCGCCACAAGTTTTTTTTTAAAAGACAGTGCATGCCACTATGAATATATTTAACGTCACTGAATCATTCGCTTAAAAATGACAAATTCTGTTGTAAGGGAAAAAAAAAAAGATACCTTTGCTGTTATTGTAATTCACCACCACCCCCAAATAAAGGAGATGTCATTTCAATGTCAGCTTTACTCAGGCAACAACAACAAAAAAATAGATTAGGGCCAGAGGGAAGGGGGCAGGCGGGCACAGGAGGTCGCCTTGGGTCAGGGGAGCTGACGGGGTCCTGGGGAGAGCCCAGCGTAGCGCTCATTGAGGGGCCTGGGATCCAAGATCAGAACAGAAAGGTGTTCAGAACTCGGTGATAGATTTGGAATTCTGCAAATGGTTCCCACACTTCTCGAGATTGACAGGCACCTGCAGATGGGCATCCAGGAGCCTGGCTCCCTCCCCTGAGGGCGTTTCCCCTGCTGGGCATGTTTCGGAGGTCCAGGTCCCTGCAAACAGGATCTGCTGATGCCTGCCTGTCTGGGCTT